GCAACACCGAGGGTTGCGATCCTGTTGCCGGTCCTGGTCCGGTACGGGCGCGACACTGAGGGTTGCGATCCGTTACCGGACACGAAAAAAAAAGACAAAAAGGAAAAAAAAAAAAAAAGAATCTTTTCTTCATTTAAAATCTATTGATGAGTTTGCCCTTTTGGAAAGAAGAAGACTGAAAGAGCTGTCCTTCTCTGAACTTTTTTTTTTAACTTCCTGAGCTAAACCTTTTGTAAAATCAAATTTGAATACAATTTTTCACATAGCAGTACCTCTAAGCTCCTTTTTGAGTCAAGGACCCTGTTAAGATTTTAGAGAAAGCTGTGCAATTTCTTCCCCCAGAAGCTACACATGATCACACAATGTTGTATACAGTTTGGGCTGAGACTTATAGACACTAACTTCAGAATCCTTGCTCCAGTAAAAGACAAGATTTGTTCTCTCTCTATCTTGTTCTTATTTTTTTGGTGGAAAAAACACATAACATGAAATCTACCCTTGTAACAATTTTTAAGTGCACAGTACAATATTATTAACTACACGTACACTGTTGTACAGCAGATCTCCAGAACTTTTTCATCTTGCATGATTGAAATTCTATACCCATTGAAAAGCAACTCCTTATTTTCCCCTCCCCCAAGTCCCTGGCAGCCACCATTCTACTTTCTACTTCCAGGAGTCTGACTACTTATTTATTTATTTTTTATTTATTTTATTTATTTTTTTAAAAATTTTTTTAAAAATTTTTTAAAATTTTTTTTTTAATTTTTATTTTGTCAATATACAATGTAGTTAGTTATTGTGTCTGACTACTTTAAATACCTCATATAAGTAGAATCATACAGTATTTGTCCTTCTGTGACAGGCTTATTTCACTCAGCATAATGTCCTCCAGTTTCATCCATGTTGTTGTATATGACAGGATTTCCTTCTTTTTTAAGGCTGAACAATATTCCGTTTATAAACATATAATACATTTATGTATTATTACATATATAATATATAAAATACACTTTCTTTATCCAATTATCCATCAATAGGTATTTTGGGTTTTTTTCCCTCCAGCTTTATTGGGGTATAATTGACAAGTAAAAAAATTATACATTTAAGGCGTATATGATGATTTATATACACACGTGTGAAATGATCACCACAATCAAGCTAATTAACACATCTGTCACCTCACATAGTTACTTTTGTGTGTGTGGTGGGAACATTTAAGAGCTACTGTCTTAGCAAATTTCAAGTAAATTATATAGCATTATTAACTATAGTCACCATGCCGTATATTAGATCCCCAGAACTTATTTATCTTATAATTAAAAGTTTGTATCCTTTCACCACCAACTCATTTTCTCCACCCTCCCAACCCCTGGCAACCACCATTCTGTTCTCTGCTTCTGTGAGTTTGACTATTTTAG